ATTATTATTTCAGCCTAGTCATCATCTAAAAATATCCTGTCCCAGTAACTGTACTTTATCTGTCTGTCCGTCCGGTAGTTTACTGTACAATATGACTGTTTTATTGATAGGCTTCCTACACATTGTCACGGCTATTATTATCCCTGTAACTACAGCAAAGCTCGAACCAACACCTACAAAATAATATATACTATAGTAAACAAAAGCATATATCTCTGTCAAACAAATACATAATGATTGATAGACATAATGATTGATGGAAACATAAGTAGAAACAACCATTAAGAATTTGTTTTCCGTAATGATTTTACATACATGTATACCATATACTCTATTATATTTACATAGCCTACACATACCTGTTATTAAAATTTTGTCATATATACTTTTATATTCCTTTCTAGGCTTTGTACTCTGAATGAGACTTCCGGCGTGACTTATTCCAAAATATATGAAGGGCATTTAAACAGTAACATTTGAAGAAATTTATTGCTCAATACCTTTTATACCTTTTATATATCGGTGCCTACTTGTTATAAATAAAAATAATCATTAACATGTTTACAAAAGGACCTGTACTTACTTTCGTTAACCGATGAAAAAAATAAACTCACCTAGAAGAATAACTGCCCAAGGAGTAATAAATTCTGCATGAACGTGCATCCCTAGTGCATCTTCAGATAGAGCCATAACATCGATTGAACTCTTCATGTTGAAGTTGGCAAATATTTGTACACCAATAGCTATATATTCAGGCAGTGCTTCATAAAGGAGAAAATAAAATGTTGTTTACATATACCATTTGAGTAACACTTACTGAATGATCTGATTATTTTTACTTACAAATTATGCTTAATTCAGATATTCATTCAGGTAATTTGTAAACAATTATATTAAAAAACCATCAAAAGGGGGTAAATGGTACAGGATGAACATGAATTTTATCGTAATATCACGCTTGAAGAACAATGCTTTTTTAATATTGTATAAAACATTCACTTTTCTTTTGTGATCTTTGGCTGTGACTATTAAGATCAAAGAGCAATTTATGCGTTACTTTTGACATCATGAAACACGACTTAACTTAGGCTAATGAACAGCTTTTACACACTACAAAATCCAATTTTCTTGGCAATATTCGGATCGGAATGTCTTTAATATAATTTATTAGTTAGCTTACCAGCTTACCAGCAAATATCCAGAAGACTGCGGATGTTATACCGGAGCATCTATGTTTGAAAAGTTTCTTAAAGATAAAGAGATATATGAACAGAAATATCAGACCACAACATGATGATGTTAGCCCAGTTATAACCAAACACCTCTGTATTATAACACTCCGAGATAGAATCTGGTTCGTCGCTGAAAACATAAAGCAATTAAAGATTCTAAAGTAAATATACTTAAGGACAATGAAAACGCACGCCCGCACTATATGCATTTTATTACATGAAAACAAAACACTAACGACTCAATTAGATATAATATCATTACTTTAATACAAAACACACATTTAACAACTGAAAATAATTAGAAATGTTTGAAATCAAATGTACACCATTAAATCGAAGAACCTAAGGTGAAAATCCCAAAATCACACTTTTTCATCACAGTAATGCAAACTTAACAAAGGCAAAAACCAAAATGAAAATCCAAAACAAAGTCACTCATTAATGTCTATTCGTAATGTCACCGTCGGGATCTTTGGAAACGACAATGTCCTCCATCAGCGTCTCTTGCAGATGTACATCGTCGCCTCATAGATCTTCAGTGCGGATAGTCACCTGTGGAATCTGACGCCATTCGGTCTGTAGTGTAGTGCAAAAACGCTGGTGAAGCCGATAAATTGTAGACCGATGGACATCAAAACGGTTGGCGCTTTGTTTGACTGAATCTGTCCTAAATCTACCCAGCGGTAATGGTTTCTTTGTAGAACCATTGCATACAATTTGCTAGCAAGTCTTCAGTAGTGTTTGAAAAATATCACCTTTTATAGAGGAAAAGTGAGAATATTAAATTTCCATGTGAGCTTTTACGATTTCTAAAACTGACCATTAGCATAGTTTAATATTCATTTTCATAAAGATTTTAATTGCTCATTTGTGTCTAACATTTCTAGAAAGGTGTGTAAAACAAGTTAATAATTAAAAATAAATAATTTCATTTCAAAAAGTAACCATGAATTGGTTCAATCTGTTTTTCTGTTGTGATCTTATCACAATTAGCCAAAAGTGTTACTTTTGATTTTCCGGGTACTGTTTTTATTATGCAATAACTTCATTAAAATGCAATCATTTTAATCATTTTATCTAAATGACCGGAATGCATTCGGTTTTATGAAACTGTGAAAAAATATTTAAAAGAAATATATTTTCCTTGTTAAAATGCAATTATCCCGACCGTGCGTTTTCACTGTCCTTAAGTATATCATGACATTCAAATTATTATTACATTTTAATAGTAAAGTGAAACAGGCTGACATTTGAACATGAAATTATAAATTCCTTAAAAGTTGCACCTTCCACATCTAAATTTAACAATTTCTTCCGATATTGATATATTTATTTAACGATATTGATATATTAAAGAAACTCCACCAAAGTCCAAAGGATTAAAACTTAAATTTTGAAAATCTTGCAAGTTGCAAGTGTGCAAAACTCTGCAAAGAATTAAAAAAATATTCACTCAAAATTAAATTGAAAATCGATTTTTTGGTGTGATTTATAGCCGGATTTGAGTGAAAAGCGTTGCAGTGCTTTTCATTTTAAGTCATTTTCACAACGAAAACAATGATTATTCTGCAAAATCAGGGTGAGGAATGAACCGAAATTGTGCACACAAGTTATTGGTCCAGACTATCATCAATAAGTTCACAAATCTGTGAAAAATATATTTCCCTTACCGTCATGTTAAAACATCTCAGTGGAGTCCCTTTATAGTACATTATTGTTTTACCAAATATTGTTCTCTTTTTGTGTTTGTGTCTACACATGACATTTCATATTGTCTATGATATCAGTATGTTAAGGAACAGTAATTAACTAACAAGACTTTCATATAATGCAGGATTGACTTATTATCTTATACATTGTATTTAAACACAGTTTGAAAACAAAATATTCTAATACTTCTCAAAGTTAAGACATGACCATATAAATATGAAACATTAGAAATAATTGTAAATACATTAAACTGATATCACCTTCGAATGACCTTCTCTCCTGTATTGTCATTTGTTCGGGTGTTCTACATCTAGAACCATTGCCATCATCTAGGCAGACTTTCAGTGGTGAAAAGTACAGGAGACCTCCATGCATGGTTTGTGTCATTTTCTGTCCATTGTTATCCACGGTTAAAGAAAACCCAAACCAGCTATGCCCAACCAGACCTATCACTTGAAGAACCATTGAGACATTGCTTATAATGATCAAAAGTATGCGCACGCATACAGATGTATCCATGTTTAAACGTGATTTTGCGCGTTTGACAATATCACAATTGTTCAAATATCCCTAAAGGTTCCAGAAACAATGCTTGATTTCGAAGGTATTGTTAAACACTAATTTAACTTATGCATATAGCTAAAACCTGCAGTTGATTTACGCATTTATCCTTGCATGCAATAACAAAAGATGCGCGTATGTATGCTTATAACAAAATATCGAACTATGAAATGTAGCATTTGCATTGTTTGCATTGATCTACTGGAAACAGCTGGCAATATGTTACAATGAAATTTCTGATTGCAATGATAAATGATACAAAACATCAATACATTGCCTTCAGTCGTACACATGTTTAATTAGAACATTAGAAATATAACATAAACGTTCATCAATCCAAATAAAACAAAAACACGTCTTTATACACCATATATGTGTATCAATTTAAACATTATGAACATTATATACGCATTCAGTCGTACTTTTCTTTAATTACCATAGACGTGTATCAATGAGAATATTTCATGTAGATATGTATTATTGTATATGAATAAGAACAAGCCATTCATGTTATTATGATATATTAATATATGTATATAAATAATGACATTATTATTAATATGTACTACTAGCATTTATTATACAGTATACGTGTATCGATTGAAAATATTCAAGACTTGTATTATTCATATCATACAATGCACATCATGTATGGATTATAAGCTACCATACATATACGTATATGTATAAAAAAGTGGGGTTTGAATTTAATAATATTTTATTGTATATTTGTACATGATATATTAACACAGCTTGACAATAATATTCTAAAGCATAAATACAATGTACATACAAAGGGTTGGACCAAATGTTATATCAACATTATCTAGGATCTTTTCCTAGAACGGATTGGATTGTGTGTCTATAAGCTTACAGCTTCTATACAATCCTACCAAAATAAATTCTTCAAAATAAACTAGGAGCATACCATAGGGTCTACATATATTAAAAAAAAAATATATAAAACACATTAGATTCGAATTCCAAGTTATTTTGTGAATATAAATACATTTTTTGTTGTTGTTGTTGAAATGCTTATTTGGAATCTGTTTCTGTTTTGTGTCCGTTCACTTGACTGTCAGTTATTCAATATGGGTCTTCATCCAGATGTAAATAACCAGATATATAAAATATTAATACTGTAGACCAAGATCACTGAAATCATTTAGGATTCTAGTTAGTAATCAATTTCGTTGTTTAAGAGCATAATCATGTTTCAAATTTTATGTAAACCAAATTCAGAGTTTTCGTCTATGTCCTCAGTTTGTAATAAAATGTTTTCAGGAAAAGAAACCACAGTCACAAAGCGTGTTTGTTTTTGCCAATTTAAAGGGCAAACAAAAATATGTGGAACTAAGCTATAACCATCACAAAAATCTTTCAGAATTCTTCCTCTTCATCCGTAAATTCTTCTTCATTTTCAACAATTCTAATCTCGTCGGTATCTCGTGAGATCTTTCTAAAACGGACTTTAGGTGTATTTCTTGATTTATCTACAGTAGTTAGAAACACCAGTATACCAACAATAAAAGCCAAACCTCCGCCGACACCTGCAACATAACCGATTAAATATATAACAGAATTTTATTAATGCAACTGGGTCTGATACCCAATTTAACCATGTTTTTATCGAAAAATTAATTTATATCAAACATTTGTATATGACGCGTTTCGCAAGTGTCTCAAATGTGAACCGATATTTTCATCCGGACAAAATTACATAACATGTGAGAAAATTTGTATTTAATGTCCACCCTGAAAACACAACATTGGTAATGATTCATTTCGCATGAAAGATCAAGAATAAATAAATAAACTAAAAAAAAATCTATCGATATTTTCCGAATACTGATGACAATATTGACACGATACCAGCTGTTTGAACTCATTTAATCTTGATCTGTACTACAATCTACCTCAATAGCAATCTGTTACCGCTTAACTTAAAAGAAGATGTACTTCCGTTTACATCCTCGTGTAGCACGTTTTGTGTAATTAGCTAATACATTTATAGAAACAGAGAATTTGTATTTCATTTAAGAGTAATGTTCCCAAAACATACCAATAAAAAACGCAATACTTTAATGTAAAAAAATAGGTTAATGCATATAAATTTGTCGTAAATTCGAATCAATCAATCAATTACTCAATCAATTACTCAATCAATCAATCAATCAATCAATCAATCAATCAAAATCAAACAAATCTTTGAAAAAACAATCCCATAATCAAACAAAAATATAGTCAGATTTTATTGACCTGACAATTATGAATGCATTATAGCACTCATTTAAATATTCAATTCCACTTCGATTCTGTCCATATAGAGTACGAGAATTAATATAGAGTAAATGACTAATTTTTTGAAAAGTCACACTATCTGACTGGTAAGGTTCTAGTCATTATCGCAATAACACAGGCGGTTGAGTGATTACCTAATATATTAGAGGTCTTGGTTCGATCCATACTTTTGCCATTGTTTTTATACCCATACTTTCTTTGTTCCTGAGGTATGTTTTAATGAATAGGGCTTGCGAAATTGTTTACACGGATATGGAACAACTAAGAAACACTGATTTGTCTGTTTTGTATTGAATTTTATGGCATTGAAATAAAAAAAAAAAAAAAAAAAAAAAAAAAAATTCCTATTATCATTTTTTATAATTAAACCCTATAGGAAATATTCGTATTTATTAATCCGATATCTATTGTGTCGTTTTTATATTTTTATATTTTGATGCTTTGTTTGGTGCACTTATCTCTTTTTTCATGAATTGGAATTGTTCGTATTTATTCGTTTTTCCGCTAAAGTGGGCGTGACGTTAATTGTAAAATTACGACGTCACGTCCGTTGATATTATTATTATTTATTTACCTTGAAAAAGGCATACATTTGCCGAAACGTTGGAAAAATAAAAAATGATATTATACGTGTTATTGCTGTGACTTTATTATTTTAATATTATATACATCACACAACAATATGGCATCTCAAGATCCACGTATACGACAACTAGAACTATTAGCGGAAAAAACAAATGAAAAGCACACTGCATGCTCGGTTCCTGGATAATTGCCGCGCCGAGGACGTTGTACCAAAAGGCCTCCAACTGAAGTTAAAAGTTAACGTCGGGAAGGATTCGGATGATCTGCAGAATTCTATTGATTCGTTACTTTTGAAAGTAAGTAAAGATATTTGCGAGCGTGTGCGAGGAGACCACATTAGACGTTCCCACGACTACGGCCGTCTGATAGAAGAAAAGCGCAATGATTTGAAAACGGACTTAAATAACGAAGAACTATTTAAAATTGACTGTGATATATTTGAACGCACGGAAAAGAAAAAAAGAAGACGTATTGTTGACACACGAGAAAAAGCTTAAATTTCTCATAGAAGCGTCTTTTCAAATTAAAACTTCAATTATTAGTAATAACACTGATGACGAAGAATATAATGATGAGATAGTTGTTACTACAACAAAACAAGATAAGACAACTGCAAAAAACGGTGGTCAAGTAAAACGTGCGAAAAAAGTTCAAAATGTCAAAAGTAAGCCAACAAAAAAAACGCCAACATTTAGATCCATGGATACAAATACGCAGAATACCCGTCAACCCGTGAAGCCTAAAACTTCGATTGAAACATCGTGCCCTTCTTCATCACCGGAAGTAGAAGTTTCAAAAAACTTACAGGCCCCGGGCACGCGCAAAACCTACGCAGAGGCCATAAAGCACGGGGCGCCCCAAGAAAACAATTCGCTGAAACTCCAGAAAACCCTGGAATTATTAACGAAGATGGTGACGGATCTACTAGCAGTGACTCCAACCGGAAACGCCGGCAGAGACGATTTATCAGAGTGGCAGACAAGAAGACATGGCGGACACTCAAAAGGAGGCTTCAAAAGATACAGAAAGGGAAGCAGACAGTCATGAATTTATCTTCAAAAAAGCTAAGTGACGATGATTTTATTCTTTTAGGAAAGGGTTTAAAGTTCTGCCCTAAAATTAAGTCTCATGATAAAATTAAACTTGCTGAAGATACTTTCATGTTTCAAAGAAGATTAAGACTCAAAGAATTTTTTAACAATTTAAATGAACCTTGTGAAACTAATTCTCAAAGTGATAGTGAAAAAGACGAATATTTCCAACACCCATTTTTCAATAAAAAAGAATCGTCATTCACCCCCACCGCTGGAAGAGATGTTTACTTGGACTTTTACATTAATGCTATTACGGAAGAAATATTGCAATCCAGTATCATTAATAAACACAAACGTTATAGTAATATAACCAAGTCTGAAATGGAGTCGCTACGTAAACTGTCACAAGATAAAAGTATAATTATAAAGAAAGCGGACAAATCGAACACTATCGTTATTATGAATACTGACGATTACCGACGGGAAGTTTTACGTCAACTCGAAACAACAGCTACTATGAAAATGTACGGAAGATCCTACAGAAATTATTAAATGTAACATATCGGAATGCATTGATAAGATTAAAGAAACAAACGACTGTATTTCAGATGAATTTGATGTATTTCCAACGAACATACGTACACCGTGTTTTTATATCTTACCTAAAACACACAAATCTCCAGACTTCACACTGCCATTAAAGTATCCGGGTAGACCTATTGTGTCAGGATGTAACTCACCGACAGAAAATATTTCAAAGTATCTCGACTTTATACTTAAACCACATATGCTTAGATTGCCATCATATGTAAAAGACACCACTGATTTCATCAACAAATTACGTTATATTAAACTACAAAGCAAAAACACATATTTGGTAATACTAGATGTCTCTTCACTTTATACTAATATACCACATACGGATGGAACTGATGCGTGTTTGTATTATTTAAGACAAGGAAATAATAACAGCAGACTTTCGTCAGATGAAATTGTTAAACTTTTGAAACTTATTCTTGAAAATAACTACTTCAAGTTCGGGGATGACTATTTTCTTCAGAAAATGGGTACCGCTATGGAAGCCCAGTCGCCCCGCGTACGCAGCACTTTTTATGGGGAAATTCGAAGAGGAGTTTTTGAAAGATAGTCAGCTTAAACCGTCATTGTGGCTTCGTTTTCTAGACGATATTTTTATGCTTTGGGATCATTCTCTTGAAGAACTTAAACACATTTATTGACAAAATCAACAATGTTCACCCAAGCATTAAATTCACCCACACCATATCTCAACAATCTGTTTTCGTTTCTTGATGTTCAAGTATCAAAAGGAAAATCGTACGAACTTCAAACTAATGTTAATGTAAAGGAAACTAACAACCACCAATATCTTGATTATACATCCTGTCATCCAAAACGGTGTAAAGACGGAATACCCCACAGTCAGGCTAAGCGTTACAGGAGAATTATATCCGACGACGACGTGTTCTCTACTTCACTGAGCAAACTACGAGAATTCTTCATAAGTAGAAATTTCCCTGAGACGGTTATAGATTCAGCGTTTCTTCCACGTGTCACAGATGTCACAAGAGGATGCCTTACGGCCACAAGATAAAGAAAAGAAAAACGTTCTTCCATTTATTGTGACATATAATCCGTCCTTACCTAATATTGGAAATACTATTCATAAATATTGGGACCCTACTAAATCTGTCAAAAAACGAAGGTGTTAAAAATATTCACAATAACTACACACCCATAATTGGCTATAAACGTCCAAGAAACTTACAAGACTTTTTAGTTAGATCTAGATTTGATACTGACAGTGACTTTACATCACATTCTGGAGGTTGTTGTAGAAAACGCTGTTCTCATTGTGTTCGTATTAATAGTGGTACGTCATTTTACAGTTCAAATACAGGAGAGATATTTGACTTACGTCAACATACTAACTGTCAAACAAGAATTGTATATATTTGATAACATGTAAAAAATGTAGCATGCAGTATGTTGGTCAAACCAAACAACCTGTGTCTAAACGAATGAATAGCCATAAATTTGATATATGCAATTTTGTAGATCCTGCATTCTCCACTAATGTTGCAAATCATTTTTAATAAGGACGATCATAATTTTACCGACTTTTCATTTATGCCCATAGATGTTGTTTACAATACTTTAGATCGTTTGTGCAAAGAAACATTTTGGATTCATAAGCTAAAAACTCATTTTCCAGAAGGAATGAACACAAAGTTGTTATACTCAATTAAATAATTCATAAAATATCAATCCACGCTACAAATGCTAGAATTACGCCACATAGATATTCGTTTTTTCCTATTATCATTTTTTATAATTAAACCCTATAGGAAATATTCGTATTTATTAATCCGATATCTATTGTTGTCGTTTTTATATTTTTATATTTTGATGCTTTGTTTGGTGCACTTATCTCTTTTATCATGAATTGGAATTGTTCGTATTTGTTCGTTTTTCCGCTAAAGTGGGCGTGACGTTAATTGTAAAATTACGACGTCACGTCCGTTGATATTATTATTATTTATTTACCTTGAAAAAGGCATACATTTGCCGAAACGTTGGAAAAATAAAAAATGATATTATACGTGTTATTGCTGTGACTTTATTATTTTAATGGCATTGAAATGACATTTATTGATTTTAATTTTGATTCTTAAACTATGCTTTTTAAAAAATGTATGGTCTTTGCCAAAATAAGCGCAAAACATATTAAAAAAAAAAACACAAAAAAGAACAACTTAAAATTCGTACCTTCAATAATGTTGAAAATCAAATAATAAAAAACATAGACATACGCGGTCTCGATCTTACAACACGTGGGACATTTAGAAAAAATAAACCGGTAGTTTACGCAATTGCGCTTTAACGGTCAGTTTAAATATTTCAAAGATACAAATTCTATTTAATCAAATCAAACTGAGTACATCTCACGAATTATCGAAGATTATTTATATTGTGTGTATTGACCGTGCAATCAGTATGCAATTGACAGAATATTGAAAAGGGTTAACCATGATTGGCTATATTTGACATGCATTAAATATTGCAATACATGTATTTACAATTTTTTTTTATGCTGATCATCAAAATTTACTGGAACTTGTGTGCTTGAAATACTATGCATTGAGAATTAATCATAGATCATAGTGTAAAAATGTTTCAACACGACCTTTAGCTAGATAAAACACTTACCTATAGTATAAAATAGATCAACATTATTACCTATTATGATCAAGTCCCAAGGTGTAATGAATGAGATATGTAGTTGATCTTCAACCTCACTTGTACCAGTTGTTGTCAGGAATTTACTGGATCGTTTAATGTTCATGTTGAGATATAATTGTACCCCAATAGCAGTAAACACAGGCAGTGCTGTAACAATAGATAATGAATCAATTGGTAATATCAACATGATAATACAATATTTATCAATATTCTACTAATATTTTTCAAGCAGATTAAAAAGCTATAATGTTCACATATTTATTATTAAGGTGGAACGCGACACTTTCTGTAAAGCGTTGACCATATTTAAGATTAGATTCCGTTGATTTTATTCCAATAGTTTCAGTCATTTCTTTTACATATGACGTCTATGTTGACCACCAACATGCAAATTGTGTCATTAAATTTAATGCCATATGGCATATTAGTATTCTTTTTTTCCATTTAACTGCCAGTGTTTTTGAGAACTATGTCAGCATCATTATATACCCAAATTATTATCTCACGAGTAATTTGATATAACTCTGTCATTTGGTAATTAATATTGAGATTCAATGGCAGATAACCCGACAACGATTTAGTTTGACTCATTTTTCCTTCGTTTAACATGTTTCTATTATCATATTCTTTGATCTTGCAAAGTTTTAATAAATTCTAATATGTATATCACATTCTGTTGTGTGTCTATATTTAACGCTCGAAAACTCCTTTACATAATAACTATTTCTGTTTTGCCATTTCAATCCAAAACATGCAATTTTCAATTAAGAATGAAACAGCGCGGGAAAACGTGATAATTTTACCTGCGAACATCCATGCTATAGCGGAAGCAGTCCCTGTACACAGTAATGTCTTTGGTCTTTTTGAAGTGAACAGATATAAAAATAGCATAACCATACCACATGATGAAGTTGCTATACCTGTTATGACCAAACTTCTTAGTACTTTAAGGATGTCAGAAAACTTTCTATCCATTTCTGCGAATATATATCGAATAGATAAATGTTTAAATCATTAGCAATTTCTAACAGTTGCTAATAACCGAGTGTTATCTTAAGCAAGATGCTAGTTATTGTGATAACCATCTAAAAATATCAGTTCTAAACATTTTATATTAATGTATTATTTGATTGATCTTTGACATATAAAAGCACTTGATTCAATTTCAACAGTATAAAAGATTACGTCTGGCATATTATCTTTAACTGAAATTGCAATGGGTGACGTCAGTTTAAGAAATCTTTGCTATCAATATTCATGTGTTAAGCATATTTTATGATTGGTCAATATAACAAAAAGAAAAGACAAAGTATGAAATCATACCATCAAAAGTTCTTCTTTGATTTTCTGGAAATTGATCGGGCGTTTTGCACGTTGTTTCTGAACCATCACAAATTTCTAATGGTGTAAACTCTAGCAAGCCACCGTGCATCTTACCCGTGACATTTATTCCGTTTTTATTCATAGTAAGTGAAAATCCAAACCACATGTTTCCTGTTAATCCAATTGTTTGAAGGACTAATGCTGCTATACTAAATACTATCATGTATGAACGTATAATAAGAGATGTTTCCATGATTTAACTGTTGCAATACTGTCCAAAGTATATGACAATTAAAATGTTTACACTACCACAGACCAAACGTTTCTGATCATGTTTACAATAAGAATGTACAATTTTCTATCTTTATGCAAGTTTTTTTATCATCTTTAAGAACATGAATACGTAGCATCGATCCCTCATAGCCGGTACAACATGTGTTCATGGGTTTACATTCCCGAATTGATCGCCAGCATGACCAAGCTGACACATATGTTATATAACACAAACGGAAAGGCTGTTACAAGGATAATAAAGAGATAGGTCATTTTCCACATCATGGTAACTATACTCTACGAATTAAAAAATATTGATATTATACTAGCCAAGATCGTGTTAAAAAATCAAAATAGAGGAAAAATGATTTAAGAGTTTAAGTGTTGAAAATTGAGTACCGATCAACCCGGTGCTAGAGGGCGTGAGGGATGTTGCACTTATTCAGTATCCCTCATGTACAGACTCAATCAAACCAAGTCTGCATTTCTTATGTTATTTGTTGTGATTAATGCTTCCGAGGGATCACTTTGTTTCCAGATGTTTAATACAGTGTTTAGTACATCACTGAATTCTATTGCACGAGTACACAATTGTCAAACTTGTATTGGACAAGACGCTAGCCGTCTCTGATATAGGTTTTGCACCTGTCCTGTAGAATAAGTATTGATCCCAACAAATTAAAATGACCTCTTTATTTTCACACAACCATATTTTAACTTTATTTCTTCAAGTATAATATGGATTTGATGTGAATTCTTAGACTTAAAAAAATATTTAGATGGAGTATGATACGTATGCAATAAATATATTTTGGCGTTCTGAAAATGAACACGAGACTATATATAGGGAACGATATGCATTTGATATTAATTATTCCCTGCGGTCTGGAGACCGCAGGGTATTGGTACGCGTTTCACTTTTGAGGCATGGGGGAGCACGTGACTGTTTTCGGTACATGGAGGAGCATGTGATCTGTAAACTGTACATGATTGGTTAATTGACCTTTTCGAAAACCTAGCTAAATACCGTTTGCCGGTACGTTACGGATTTACCTCTAGGGAATTAGTCCGAATTACACATAATTAAGAACAAAAAACTATTACGTGATATTTCTAATTTTCTATAATTATTTTACCGATTAAGGTGGAAAAACTTGAATGATGTGTTTGAAAATTATCAATGTTTCTATAAAATCTATCTCAAATTTTACAAACAATAAGAAACCTACAATTCGTAGTGGCATCTGCCATAATAAATAGAGATATGTTATGCCCAAACTTGTGTGTTAACTTTATTCTTTGTTTGCTAGGAATTATTCATAAAGTGGTAGGCCTATTTAATCATTTTCTTAAAAAGAAACAAGCAATTATCATAGTATTGCAAGCAATCCATAAGTCCCCTACCGGTAAGAGCCCAAGCAACATTCTGAAGGGCCATTGGCCATTCACTTAGGTTCCTACTTTAAGAAAATTTGTTGAAAAAGTTCTTTAAAAGTGATCACAGGAAACAGTTTTTATGTACAGACAGACGGACTGAAGGACACTCTATAAAGTTATTTTTTAAACATCCCTGTTATCAAAATATAACATTTTTAAAATCCTATCATGATTGAAGAAGTTGGAGTAAAAATGAACAATTTCTCAAAAAAAAAGTCTAAGTTCAAAAGGGGCTTAATTCTGGAAATAGTCTTGCTAGAGTATTGAACACTCACAAATGTTGAGTGACTATAAGAAACATTTATATGAAGTTTGAAGTAGATACATTCAGAAAAAGAAGTTATTAAAAAAACAATGTTTTTTTCATGAAAATTTTTAGTTCAAGGGAGGTAATTCTGATAAACTTTGTGCTAGAGTTGTAAACCTTGTCACATATGATGTGGTTGATGACAAGCAACTTATATTTAAAGTTTGAAGAAAATACCTTAAGAAATAAAGAACTTATAGTGAAAAAACTTAAAAACTAGAATCAGAAATCTTGAAATTCAGTCTATTTGTTGCCATAGCAACCAGAATTTTCAACATAGGAAGATAAAAAAGGATGTGCATAATTTCCATACTGCCATCTACCCATATGTCAAGTTTCATAAACATATTTTCAGTACTTTTTGTGTTATCACACGATCCAGGTTATGTGTAAAATTTGCCATATTTTCAGTCTATTTGTTGCCATAGCAACCAGAATTTTCAACATAGGAAGAAAAGAAAAAGACGTGCATAATCTACATACTGCCATCTATCCATATATCAAGTTTCATAAAAATATTTTCAGTTCTTTTTGCGTCATCGCGAGATCCAGGTTATGTGTAAAATTTGCCATATTTTCAGTCTATTTGTTGCCATAGCAACCAGAATTTTCAACATACGAAGAAAAGAAAAGGACGTGCATAATCTCCATACTGCCATCTATCCATATATCAAGTTTCATTAAAATATTTTCAGTACTTCTTGCGTTATCGCGGGATCCAGTTTTGTGGACGGACGGACTGACGGACGGACAGACGGACGGACTGACGGACGGAGGGTAAACCTAAAGTCCCCTCCGGTAAACCGGTAGGGGACTAATAATTGTTTGATGTTCGACCTTCTCCGGTCTTTAACGGTCACCAGTTTCCAAAGAATTTCTTCTATATTGATCGATTATTGTCAACTATATTCCTAATACAAACGTTTATTTATCCACCCCCACAAACTATTTTGAAAATAGTTCAATGAAATATCTTTATATCATTAAAAATGTTCCCCGCAGGAAACCATTTTACTTGTATTAATAATTTGGACCAATAATGATTTCTTTTAGAACATCCCGTGGTTCAAACGATTATAATTCATTGGTTGTATTTTAAAGGGCGTTAAATTAATTTCAATACGTTCACAATCAATAATTATATTTATACGTGTTTCTCGTACAGATCAACTTACATTTGCAGTAATACTCCATTAGACAATTCGTTTTAGGAAGATGTTGATACATGTACCATCATAGAACAGTCATAAATTCACCGAAATACATCTATGTTAAGATAATGCTCTAGAATCTATAAACATGTCCGACTTTTTAATTTAGAAAACTTAACGATCACAAATTGTCAATTAGTCTTTATATTTGCAACTCATTTATAAATGACGTGTACGGTAATCAATGTCAGCAATAATTGACATTTTATGATATATGAAAGTTAGAAACACTGATTGTCAATTTATATCATTGGACAAAAACAATTAAAGAAATTAATCCGCACGAAAGAAACTTTATTAAAGGAGTTCGGATGTCATAGATAACGGGTTTATACAAATATCTCATCACAAAGATTTACATGTATACAAATATCTCATCACAAAGATTTAAACAAATATCTCATCACAAAGATTTAAACAAATATGTCATCACAAAGATTCAGCATCTCGAGGTTTACAAATATCTCTATCACAAAGTCTACACTTAGTTATTCCGTCTCGACCGATTGTATACCTTTTAGCGCGACATTTTCGAGGCACTGATGACATATTCGGGCACTTAGGTACTGGACAAACCTTGTATTTCTTTCCTGAAATATAGATAATTTCACATATCTAAATATTGAGAGTTTGGCTATGGCAAATATCAATAAAAAGAAGATAGAAATGCGCAAATCATAAGAATGTTTGTATATTTTCTCTACAGTTAAAGCTGCATGCCACCAGATTAAATGCTAGTTTCATGAAAATTTTGAAAATATATTTTAAAGCATTATGTTATGTATGAAGTGAACAAAGAAAGTAATTAACGCATTGCAAACAGAAATAACAATGCACGTATATAACCAGAATGAGGTCAAAATATTAAAAAGGTCATTAGTAACACAGTAGAATATGGTGATAAATAAGACCAAATCAGTCATTAATCGCACACAGTATGTAAATCAAAACTTAAATCTTAGTTTGAGTTTCTTGAAACACTTGGGCTTATAAGGAGGCGTACAGCATTAAAAGTATGTTTCAAGTTAATATTATAGACAGCATAAAGGTAAATTAAGCATCCTCATTCTTTACCAACAACATAATTTAAGGAACGAAAATAAACACTAAAGAAATACTTATCGTCCTTATAAAACAAACAATACTGATATTTAAGAAAGAACACGTGCTGTTGATCTGTAAGTGATCGTTTTCCTTTAACATCTATAGAAATCAATACGATGTATTGTTTCTAATACTTTTACTCTGTTTGAAATTAATTCTTGGGTAATAACATGCACTTAGAACCAATAATTTTCATATAAAAGATAAATCATTTACTTTTCCATTTATTAATATTTCTTTGCAATTCTATATCATTAAAATATCTTGCAGTCTACATAATACACATACATACCACAGAGACTGCTATCACATGCACGGCATTTCGTTATTCCGTCAGTTCCAATCACAAAGTTTGGTCTGCGACATTCATCTTTTATTTTCCGGTCATTAGGGCAATCTAATGCAGGGCATACAGATATTTTCTTCCCTACAGAAACATCATGAACATTTAATTAACCCTACCAAACTCTATATATTATACATGTATTCAACCTGGGACAAGAACATTGTAGTGAAACTTTTAAATGATGTATGCAAGTGTGTGTCGGCACTATTTATATTGATGAAATATTTTGCCTCCAGCTGGCAATGGGTAAAGTTGTGTTCATGCTACATAAGCTGAATACACATTATATGTAAGTTTAAAGTACCCTTATGTCCATCCAAGGGTATATAGTGAGTGAACAGGTAAAAGTCAAAATAAGATATATTTTTTACATAATTCTCTTTATTTTTATGATAACTTATGTGGCCCAAAGAAATTTCTGTTAGGACTCATCGGAATTTACCTGTAATTTAAATTGAATAAAATGAGTGGGACAGTCTTTTGATATCTAAGGCAGATTTAAATTTTATCCTTAACATTTTCCAATATCAGCTGTTGTTCAATCATTATTATAGCAATCAAATCTTTTGAAATATACTGTCGATTGAGCTCAACCTGACAATTAAAAATGAGCACAGTTTAAGATAAAATATAAAACCAAGTGTGTTTTAAACTAATATCATTTATATCTATGCATTTTAATGATCGAAATAATGTATAGTTCATACAAAAATCTAATAATATATTATTGCATTGATACTAATACAAATATCATATATATATAAAATAAAAATAAACAAACTGAAAAGCGAGCATTTCCTTTTTATAACTTAATAGCTTATACATGTATTGTATTTAAAAGCTTTTTAGTCGTTCTGGCATTTAGAGTCAGATATTTGAATAAGACTTAATAATAGAATGTTTTTGGCGGCTATTTGTTTGACCATGAAAAAAAATTATTAAAATATGTATAACATTATGGTACGAAATATAAATCATTCTTAACAAACAATAAAACAAAAACGTTTTTTCTTGAAATGACTTAATTTCAATATTCATCATTATTTTTTTGAATAACTCGTTAGAATTTTAAACATACAATTATTTTATTGTTATACTTACCACAAATACTACTGTCACACATGCGACATCTTGTTTTTAAATCGGCCCCAATCACATATTCTGCCTTTCTACAGTCTGTTGGTATTTTTCCTGAGCATTTCGGCATGGGGCATACATTTAACACTAAAATAGTTTAAATATCTGATCAGTATAGAGAACAAATATTAAAAACTTTTTTTTATGTGGCAGTGATTCAAGACGATCTATTTTGCCTTTGTTACTATCTATAACAATATTGAAAAATATAATGGAGCTTTTTCAATTTTTTACCTGGTACTTAACTTTTCATCTTTTATAAAGCTCTAAACAAACGAAATTTTATGCTCAATGTTGAACATTGAATCATATTTCCTTATTCTCCGTTTCATATCAGTATGAGCATTTGCTTATGTGTTTATATTTTCATATGTTGCTAAGTATATACTTTTACCACATATGTAAAATATGTATTTTTATTTATCATATTATTACCTTTCGCAGGTCATGTATATATTGTTATGCAAAACTTTGTTCTTTACAAACTTTTTGAAGTCATACTTACATGTATGTATGATTTATATAGCATGTATTTTATTCATATAATCAAAGAATCACATTAAATACCCGCGCTAAATGAAACAGCTGAAAGTATTTAAAACGTTTTAAATATATATTTTACTGTGTCGATGTGACGTAAAACCCAAAACAAAAAAAAAAAAAAAATATATATATATATTTCAGTCATCAAGCATTCCAGACAACAAGTAAGAATTAATTAATGTAAAAAATTGTTGTTACTTTTCCCACACGAACTGCTAAAGCAGGAAACGATGAACAAAATTGTAGCAAATCCGTAATATATCATTATAAATTACACCTTCAACCTTATTTCGTCCTATTTCTATACGGTAGTATAATGTGAATAAAAGTGTTATGGTAAATGTTTTATTTGATTTGTAAATAATTACTTGCAGATTGTTTAATAAGATATATATTGCCTAAGGTAAGAACAAACGTTGATAGAAATACCAGTATTCAATATCATTTCAAGGTATTCTTATTGCCATGAGCACAATTATAATAGCATATAAACAGCCTTTACAAATCACTCTCCGGATAAAATGATAAAAAAAAACTTAAGGTTCATGTCGTGAACAAATAATTTAAACATGATAATATGTTTATCATAACACATATAAAATTAGTTAATTTTATCATAAACAATGTAGCACATGAACACCTTAAAATGTTTGAAGTCCAATTAAGCCCCCCACCGACACACAAAAAAAGAAATGCTGAATAATTTTCATTCCTCAAACAGTTTATTTTTGGTGTCCTGTTACAATTTCCGAAAATTACTCATTGGTATAAGTTTAACCATCATTTGCTTCTTTTAGTAATTAGTACAGTTATAGTGATTTTGTATGGAAGTCAAAACGCATGTTTGTCCCCTTTTAAAGGGTAAGACAACATTTTTCAGGCATAATGTGCATTTTATTAATTCAATAATTCACAGCAAAATGATTATTTTAATGACTTGTGTTGAGCGTTGAATATATCATCATCGAAAAAACATAAATGATCACTAACTTTGTAAGACACATATGAAAAGTCTGTTCTGTTCAATTTACACGTCAAAGTACATTTATTTACCTACTGTTATATTCAGCGACCTCTACAATATAAATCTATGCTTTACCTACTATGCTGCCGATGGGAATATGATGTCTTGATTATTTAAATGCATCTTTTCAAAACAGTAAACATCTATAATAATAGTAAATAAACAAGTTAAATGTTGTATGCTACACATTAAAGACGCCACCAAATGATGTGGACAGTCACAGGTATTGCACAAAATCAGCCTTGACATTTTTGTCTCTATAACAGTTGAATATCCGAAGCACTAATCAATTTTTCTTGGTATTTGCTCGTTGTTTAATAAATTGCATGTTTTTGTGAAAAACTAGAACCTACAAAGTTATGCTATGTCTGAAAATCTTAATCTCATTAACGATGGCGACAGCACGTGTTGCAATAAGTAGCTTTACTTACTTTAATCTGAAACAGGAGAGGGCTACTCCCGATAGCAAAGCTATCACAACCTGGCTTCGCAAGTATCTTTCCCTTTTAAGTTACTTATTTATTGTAATCTGGACTTTAAGAAATAAACAAAAAAGATTTTTATCCAATTTGTTTAATAAATCCTGGTGATGTATGGTATCTAGCATGTGAAGATATGATTTTCTTGCAGACCCATATACTACAGAACCATAATCTAATTTTGATCGGATAAGACTTCTGTATACTTTCAGTAATGTGGAAGAATTTGATCCCCAATTTGTACTTGATAAAACCTTAAGTAAATTTAAAGCTTTAAGGCATTTAGTTTTCAAATGTTTAATATGTGGTATAAAAGAAAGTTTTTTGTCAAATATAATTCCTAAAAACTTAGCTTCATCAACTACTGGAATTTTAGAACCAGATATGTAAAGTTCAGGGTCATTATGGTGTTTCCGCAATCGACAAAAATGAACACATTGAGTCTTTGACTTTGAAAATTTAAAACCATTTTCTATTGCCCACTTTTGGATTTTATCTAAATTTTGTTGAAGTTGCCTTTCAATAGTTCTCATACTTTTCGATCGATAACAGATAAGAAAATTGATAATATTAAACTTAATAAACTATAGTCCACACCGTATTACCGGCGGCAGTGATGGCAGATCACTGCAGTGATGGCAGATATCTGAAAATTACCGATCGATACAGGTAGGTTATAAATTTGGTTGGTTTAACTATATTACACAAATACAGCCCATTTCATTGCTATAAAACTATTGTCCATTGAATGGAGATACTGTAAGGTAATTTTGGACTCGTTTTTTCCTGTTTTCAGACTATTTTGAGCAGGTTAAAAGTGAAAGCCTTAGAAAAATCCGTGAAAATGTGTGTTTTCTGTTCAAAATATCTCAAGTTTTAAGTAAATGGCAGGATTTCCTGTTATCAATATAGACGTTCATCCATTGGGGTCACGCAAGCCAAATATCTACCCCGTGATTCTTTTCTTGAAAGTTTTACAGACGCTCAATCTTGTCCGGTCGAAGAAAAAATGCTGCCGTTGTAGGCAGATACATATTATAAATGCTGCCGTCGATGGCAGAAATACCACGAAAGTGGCTAACATTCTGACAGAAAATCAAGTTCAATCTTTTATTAATTCCTCTTTTCTTTGCGTCATTTTAGTCAGAATTGAGACGTTAAACTATCATTTCTAATATTTTCTCAAGATAGAAAAGTTATTAACCCATTACCCCATGAGCATCTTGTGAAAAATGGCTGTTTTCATTGAAAGGTCTCCCGTTACAAGTTCAAGTTGCTATAAAACTATAAAAACTGCTTCAATACTAATCAAACTTGGCACAAATGTTGACTGGACCATTGCCTTTGTACCAACATGTTCAGTCTGAAATTTCCTGTTACCATAGCAACTAGGGGACATCTCAAAATTGCCAAAAATCACTATTTTGTGTTGATTTTTTCCATCAAAATTGATTTCAAAGTGCTGCCACTTCTCAATGGATTGAGATAGAGTCAAAAGCTTTTCAGCATTGGTTACACGTTACCTTATGATCGACCTGGGGCTATTTTTAGCCTCCCATAAGTCCAAAGTTTTCTTGGCGATGAGGGGGACTCAGCCCCCCTTCAACCCCCCCCCCAAACAGAAGGGGGCACATCCCCCTTCTGACAACCCCCTGATGTATCTTTTGGATGGGGGGTGGGGGCCGCGCCTAAAAAAGTGGTCAATTTTTAAAACAACATTTATCAAACAAAAACAAGTGTTTGTGGGCCTAAATATGGCATTTTTCACCATTTGAGAAAGCAAAAAAGGAGGGGGGGGGGGGGGGGTGAAAAAGGCGTAGAAAGGCGTATATATCTGGTAATGGGTTAACAGAAAATGATGGAAAAAAAAAACGAAATTACCCAAAAACGCGTTTTTCCATGTTAAAACATGGCCTCACATATAATTTTGAAGAAAAATTGCTGTTTTGTAGATTTTTTGATTTTTTTCATTAATGCGGTATGTTCATCGAAAAAAAAAGGTTATTAGCAACATGCAGTTACAATACAAAAAGTTATGATTTAGTACCACACATTTTCACTATAAATAGAGAAATGAACATGAAAAACTTCATTTTTCTATATTCATGCATGTGTGCTTGATCTGCTGTGTCTGTCAGTTACATGCATACAATACTATATGTATCTTAAGTTTAGCAGCGCACTCCCTTTTTAAGACATAACGCCAATTGAATATTACAGCAAGTAACTTCTGTAAGTGGATATTCATTTGCTAGCATATGACATTATTTTCTCGAGGTAATAATGTTCATCGATCGCTTTATGACAAATAAAGGCTGAAATTTACTTAATCGGCGCAGATTATAAATTATTAAATTGATGTAATAAAGGGGAGACTATTAACCTCGCAACTGGCATCAGTGTATCATAAAACAATGTATGTTAATGTAAAATGGAAAGATAATATTATTGACAGTTCAAATATTTTCCTATATTATCAAGTTCTTGAAAAACACGACAACGTGGATTCATTTCTTTAAATTTTCATGTTTGTAATAGCGTTGTAGTTTGCCTTTGAATTACATTTACTATGCTAAACTATTAACAACAGTTCTAACATCACGTGCTCCCATTTAACTATATATTTTTTCATTCATTTTATTTGTAACCATGACAACTTATAAAGATGAACCTTTCGATGATTCATATCACAAGTTGAAAATAAATCCTGTATTTATAGGAAAAAAACTAGAATTTTTTTATTTGTTATATTCTTTTTCTCTTTTTTGACCTTTCAATTCATATGAACAGATCAAGCACACATGCATGAATATAGAAAAATGAAGTTTTTCATGTTCATTTCTCTATTTATAGTGAAATTTTGTCGTACTAAATCATCACTTTTTGTATTGTGACTGCATGTTGCTAAAAAGCTTTTTTCGATGCACACACCGCATTAATAACTTTTCTATCTTGAGAAAATATTAGAAATGATAGTTTAACGTCTCAATTCCGACTAAAAGGACACAAAGAAAAGAGGAATTGATAAAAGATT